CTCTAGTCTCCATCCATTTAGCACATGTCCTGCCAGACCTCATTAGGGAAAAACTTCCTAAGGCCAGCTATTTAGTGGTATCTGCAATATATTTTGGGGAAGGAAAAGTACTCATCCACTTATAAAAATAGTTTAAAATAACTAAAGAAAATTGACTCTTCTCTTGGAAAGAAGCCCGCAATCTAGTTGCAACCACTTAGAAGAACTCACTACATTTGCAGCATTACAGATGCTCCAGAAAACTCACGGTGTTTGACATCATCTGTCTCTCCCCCATGCCCAAGCCCATCCTCCCTGTATCCAACTCACAATCTTTAAGTTCTCAGGGTTCTATGGACCCATCTTTTGGGTACCATCCTGTCTTGGATCCATGCACCTACCATAAAGTTTCCCACATGATGCATAGGAAACACATTTCCTTTTAAGTAATTCTGCTTCCTGCTACTTTATTCAGAACTGTTCTTTCCCAACTTTCCTGATGCTGTTGGCCTTATTAATTTATAGCTGTCCCTCCCACTATCACAGTGCTCACTCTTCTGAAGAAACATGTAATGCTAGCTTAGCTAGTAAATCTGCCTTATCACATTCATTAGCTATCATTAACTTCACTGATCAAATGTCCACTGCTTTCTGTCCTAAAACCAGTTCTTTTAGATCACTAAAACTTCATGAACATCTGCCATAACGCAGAAACGTCCTCCTCCTCCAAGTCATAGTATCTATCTGTAATCATACTGTATCTGCAGAGAGATCTCTTAAATGGCATGGCAACTTCTCACAGGACTTAACCTTCAGGCTGGTAAAGGTCTCATCAAGCAGTCAGGCTTCCTCTCTTCCACCAGGTAGAAACTGGCACAAGCTATTTTCACCAAAACCCCTTTCTGCTAACTTATATCTATAAACTAAATCTGATCACTTTTCTTTACTTCTAGAAGAGTCAAAGGATTGCTAAAGTCAATCCCTAGATATTACCTGGTCTCAGATTATTTACTTTGATGGGACAAGTCTTTTTAGTCATTCATTCATTCAGGAACACAGAATAGAATATATGCATGGTTCTTAACCACAAAAAGCTCATAGTCTTTCATTATGCACACACATAAACAAGTAACTTTCATACAATCATTAACTTTGACTACCAGGTTTGGCAGCAGGCCATCCCTCCCTTTAAGAGTCCCTTCTTGTCAATTACTGCAGTGGGTGTGGTGCATTTAAACCTCCTTTACCTTCAGTGTCCCAAAGATGGGGCTTCAAGTCTCAGAACTTCTTGCCTGCCACACATTATAGCCAATAGTAGGCATAAGTCAGTGAGATTTAAATGCCATTTCTGATCTAGCTTTGTGTTTCAGGATACACACGTAGAGACAGAGACTCACTAAATCACCTTTCGACTTACTGTGTTTCTTGCATCTTAAGGTGGCTGTACGGAGAGGGCATCGTGGAAAGAAAGCACTGCTCTGAATGCTCTGGTCAGGCTAGGATAAGCTGACCTAGGGGATATGGACACACACCTGAGAACGAATCCATGCCTGAAGCCCACAAAGTTCTCTTTGAACATCACACAGAAACAGCAGTATCTTTACTTTTAACCAATTAGGCCAGATTCTTTGAGGGACTGCAATGAGTAAATCACTCTTTTCATCCCATTCCAGTTGCTTCTGCTCCTTTTCACCAACCCTATCAAATTACTGAATAGGATTACTTATTAGCTATTTAGATAATAAAAAATATACAGACCAAAGAACAATATAGATCACTTTGTATTTATTACATATTTAGCCGAATTGTTTTTCAAATTACAGAATTCAACTCCAAAATAAAGTCATTAATGCCTATTAGGTTGTTATTCTCACTTGCACTTTTCCCTCTAAAATTTTAACACAGCAAAACACCTTAAAGACTTGTGAATAGGTTCAGTGCACTTGCAGTGGCTCACAATCATGAGACAAAGATCACATTCATCCATAAAAAAGAAGACAAAGAACTCAATATTTTACAATATTACTGACATGAAACAAAATAAAGGAAAAAATACAATACTGCATTTTCAGCACAATTGTTTTTTGGTAGAGGATAGCAGGTTACTATTTAAATAGTGCCCCCCTGCAAAGAACATGCGGACACACTTGGCACATTAGCACTTGGTAACTGCTCACCTTCCATCTGCCCTCTCTTCAGAAGTACCCTTACTCAGGGCCCCACTTTCCCTTGAGCCTGATCCGCCCGCCTCCACAGGGACTACTCTGGCGGGAGCCTGATCCTTCTTCATTCACCTGCTCTTAAGGTTTTGCCGTCTGCCCTTTATTCTCCCCCAGAGTCACACCTGCCGCCGCCTGCACTCTCAGTGAAGGTGCCTGGCACAGAACTCATGCTGAGCATCCCCACCACAGCTCTACTCCAGATGCTGCCCCTTCACTTTAAACCATGACTGTAAGGTAAAGAGGATTATCTGCCCACAAAAATCATGCTCCCTACTTTACAGTCACGTCTTCCTGCAATGCAAAAAAGGTTGGTGATGCCTGATTTGGAACTTAAAACACTGAATTAATTTAGGCAGATACACACTGCTCCGAAGTTCTTTAAAATTCACTCTTTCCGGGGCGCCTGGGTGGTGCAGTCGGTTGAGCGTCCGACTTCAGCCAGGTCACGATCTCGCGGTCCATGAGTTCGAGCCCCGCGTCAGGCTCTGGGCTGATGGCTCGGAGCCTGGAGCCTGTTTCCGATTCTGTGTCTCCCTCTCTCTCTGCCCCTCCCCCATTCATGCTCTGTCTCTCTCTGTCCCAAAAATAAATAAAAACGTTGAAAAAAAAAATTAAAAAAAAAAAAATTCACTCTTTCCTACTGTTGTTTTAAAGCCATAAAAATATAAAAATTGTAAACATTCTACTAAATGTTTCAGTGGAAACTCCATTATTCTACTTTTTATTTAGTGGATTCAGAAAGAACAAAAGTGACACTATGTTCCCTTTGACAAGCTAAAATGATGCTCCCGGCCCTAACCTACCATTACACATCTCCCACCATCAGACAGCTCTGTTGGCCAAGCAATGTTACTGACAACTGTCAGTTGCCATTCACGACCAACCTTTTAACAAAGCAGCAGAGTAGCCCATTGTAATCTCTCCTAGATAGTCGTCCATCTGCTTGCTGGGCACCTTACACACACTGCTCTATACTCAACCTAGCCTTGGTGATCATGCACACACACAGAAGTAAGGACACACAAAAAATTGGAGCACCTCCTTTGCCACATACTGTATTCCTCTACAAAGTGAGAGGGTACTTCCTAATTTTTTGTCAGAGTAACAGCAGAATCGGGGGTTGGGGGAGAGGGGTGCTGTTGACAGAGGCAGAAATAAAGAGGAAGCTGGTAAGTCTAGCTACCAGTGTCCACCACATCCAAGAGAGCTCATTCTCTTCACATGACGCTGCTGGGAGCATAAAGATGAATCTGACCTTCTATTCAAAAGAGAAACCTACTCAGGAAATTCTAGTCACTTATCATTACTTTCATAGCAAGGTTTTACTGTATGTATTTAAAAACATGAAATTAACAAGAAGTGACATTTTTAAAAATGAGTAATTTTAAAATTAATTTTTAAAAACAGTGCTTTTGTTTTTAGGGAGAAAAATGCTAGACACAAAAAAACTAATAAAACCTAACAGCTCTAGGGAATCCCTTTAGTATCTTTATCAGTTATGATTAATGAGATAATTTAAACCAGAATTCCACACGTGGGTGATAAACAGTACCAATTAACCAGAGTATTAACTGCAATGACTTAAAACTGTATTACCTGAACAGTCTCCATGGTGAAGTGTCAGAAAAAGTGAAATAATAAATATTTTCCACAGCACCATAAGATTTTATAAAATACTTACTATTTCAGTTTTTAACTTTAATGTACAATCTCAAGATTGTGGTCCATTGTTCATAGTAGGCCTAACTTCTTCTTTCACTGACAAGAATTCTGACATAGGCCATAAAGGCACAATTACAACATGAAAATGATGTATCTTACTGAAGAATCTGTACAGTATACTTAAATAGTCACTGTTGTGGTTGTATCCATTGAGTATTAGCAGATTCAAAAGCCAGGAAAGATGGTTTTGCCATTTATACTCACAAAATTTAGTTTGTCAAAAGGACCTAAATGGACCTAAATGGTAACTAAGATAGTTGCCATAACTACAAAGTCCTTTTATATCTGTTTTAGTATTCTGTCCTCTTATGGGTTATGTTTTTATATGACAATATTTTGTAAATGGCTCTGGGTTTTTAAAATAAGAATACATTTAAAATAAGGATTCATTTTGAATTTTAAAAATAAGTTCAAGTGGAAAACGGACAAATTCTGTAGCTGAATTATCTGCAATTATGTGTAACAAGTTATCTACAATAAAAACTATATCACAGATTGAATCCCCCCGATATCCAGCATGCTCATGGATCTCCTAAACAGTTAGTGTGTGCTGTGCCAATTTATTTCAACACTTATCCAAGCAAAACATAATTGAAAGTAATGACTTCCCTATCGAAAAGCTTACACTGCATTCCAAAACCAAATACAAATTAGGTTTGGGATGATCAATGCCATGTCTCCCCCCGACTCCCCCACCATTAATGCAGAGAACGGAGACTTGGCTTTACTACAAATCAGCTAGCACTAGAGTAAATTTGCTATAAAATTATTTATAACAAAATAAATATTTTCAGTCCCTCTACACTAAGTGACATATAAATCATTAGCAGTTTATAACATTAGTTCAGGTCACTTTTGTGAGACCCAAATATACTGTACAATCCTGAGTAAAAGGTTAAGGATACAGTTTCTTAGGGATCTTTCTTGATCAGGATTCATAAAGAAAACACATAAAACCACAGCTTGTAATAATCCCCGTTTTCATTAGAAGTACCAGGAGTTCTTTTTACTTTGGTAAATAAGTTTATCTATGTAAACCATTTATTTTGATGGAGTAAAATAAAAGCAGAGCTTCTGCTAGGATCCCTCCACTACCTTTTGACACTGATACAGTAAATAGTCAGGAAGAGTAGAGCAGGAGGATCTGAACCACAGGGCTAATACGTCACCATGAACTCGAAAATGCAGCAAGCAGGGGATGGATGGGAGCAGCTGACAGGCCAAAAGCCCTTCACTGCCTACAAGAAAACATAAATTGAAAATTCTTTAAGACAAAAGGACTCAGACATTTCTCCAAGATACACAAATGACCAAGAAGCACGTGAAAAGATATTCAACATCACTGATCAGTAAGGAACTGCAAATTAAAATCACAGGGAGCTACTAATCCTATAAGACACACACACACACACACACACACACACAC